AATGACTTGTATATCATTTAAAAAAATTATATCCTGAACTCCACAATTGGCAAAAGAAAGAATAATTAGAAAACAAAACAAAACACTTTCATGAACCAAAATGTGGAATTTGCAGGCGTTCCCCCAGTGACTCAGCTCATCAGCTGGATTATGGTTCTGCTGAATTATGTTTGTACATAATGGTGGGATTTGTTGTTACGTATCCATCCACGCACACAATATAACAATATAATTTGGCCAGTACACATCCCCAATATTTCCTTTTTCCCTTGGCAACTATATTTGTACAACTATAAGGTACAAATAAGGAAAATAGGGAAAATTAAAACAAGTCCTTAAAAAATAAGGGAGAAATGAAAAGCCTCAAGTTCCATTTTAGCTAGAACCAAGGCAGATCCTCCAAAGCTGGTGAGGTAGCTTTGACATGATTCTTGAGAAGGTGAAAACATGTACAGTTTGGGAAAGTAGAGAACATTCCAAGAGCATCTCTGTGAGTGCTGAAGAATAGACATGCCTGGGCAGTAGAAAGGGTACTACTAAGTACCCAACTGGACAAAGGACAGTTACTCCTTGTGGCCATGAAGGACCTGTCTACCAGAACCTTCTGTCATGCCAGGATTCAGACCAGCAGAGGCCCTCTGTGAAGACAAGACTTTCTGTGAAAGAGAGGTTGACAGAGAAGCCCGCCTGGAATCGAGGACTCCCACTTTACACAGAGTGACCACACCTCTGCTGGCACATGGCAGAAGTGGGTCTTCATCTAGATTTTCAAAGGAGGGCTCATTCTCCATTTTCTATCCCATTATAAAATCACTCATGGGCCCCAGTTCTGGATACTATGCTGGATTGTGGAGGAAGACGGATCACACAGGCCCCTACCCTGGAAGCAGTTGATATTTATACAAATCTTTTCATTTCCATGTGTTCCCTCCTATTCCCCCTCAAATCCACACAAATCTTCTACTCTGAGCCAAGAACAAACACTTCACTAAACACATTCCTCTGGGTTCCTTTTCATTTAACAACTTTTGATTGAGTTTCAGACTAGAAACCTGATGTAGAAGTATAAAAAGAGAAAAATCTGTGATCCTTAAGTAGACACACAAAGAACAGACTTTCACTGCCATAAATGCAACCTCGTTATGAAAGACTGAAAGCCACCTTGGGAGGCCAAATTGTGAGATTTTTCTTGGGAGCCTGGTCTGGTGCCTCTTTTTATAAGCATTCTGGAAAGAGTAGGGGACTCCTGGAGGATACTGTGGATTCTATAAGCAAATGGCTGTTCTTAAATTTCACTCTCCTTATCTGTAAAATGGAGATATTATTGGCTTTCTTCCTTCAGTAGGTTATTATATTAATTAGAAAAGCTATTCAGTATAAAAGCACTCTGTAAATTGGCAAAGCACAATAACAATTGAAGATATGAGCATTTTATCTGCCCCCAGTCCTGCTCCTTTCCCTCCCTCCCAGGAAGGTAGGTTGTTACTCTTGTTCATCAGATGAATATATTCCTTAAACTTCTTTATATTCAATAACTTAAGAATGCAGTGAAGCCCTCTGCCCCTGCCTTGCATTCTCAGATTGAGTCAGCAGGGAGCTGAGCCAGGGGGGAGTTGCACATACTGTTCAAGTCCGTTATGAAGACACAAGGAAAAATAGTCAACAAAAATGAAATAGTTAAAAAAAATACAAACATGATAGTGACTTTGGAGAGCAGCTGTTTTTCTTGGCATTGAAGCTTTACCTGTCATGAGGAATATTTCCCATTATGGAATTCCAGGAAGAGGTTACCATGGGAGAGGGAGCTTCCTGGGTGTCTGGAGATAACCTTTGGGGGCCAATCCACCTGTAGGGCAGGTCTTGAGGTCACCTACCTCCTCTACCCCCACCAATGACTCCTTTCAAGATTTTAATAGGGGTTAGAATCTTCAACCTAGGCATCAATAGGAATTGAATAGACTGGTAAATACTGATTTCCCTCATGTTTAAATGCTCTGGAAAAATTAGTCCTCATGTCTACTTTTCAGAACTGTAGGTAAAGAAAAGTTACTCAAAATCCTGCTGCAGTTATTTATTCCTAGATTTCCTCTTTTATCTCCAATATGCGTCTTTTGACCTGGAAAGTGACCTTCTAGTGCTCTAGGCATGATGCCTTACTTCAGTCTGTTTCCTTATCCCAGTTCTCAAGACACATCCACGTGGTCCTCTGATTGACGCCTGTCAGCTTGCTAGGCTGAAAACTCCTTGAGGGCAGAGTTGGTGTTGCTGTATTCTTAGTGCCTAGTTCAATGCCAGCCAGGGAGTAAATGCTGCATAAAGATGTGTGAAGTGGGTGTAATGGCAAACTTTCTTCTACTGCTGCAATGCTACAGTTTATTAAAATACACATGTGAGACTTGCCTATTTAAAGCAGAACTATTTCTATCATGGAGTCACATACGTGGGAGGCTATGGAAGGTATCAAGTACTACTGAGGAGAGCTAATCCAACAGGGAGCCCCGGACCCTTCTCAGATCCTAAGACAGGGTCTGACACCAACTTCCTCTCTTTCCTACGTGGACCTGAAATACTTATCTAGTGGAGATTAAAACCAACATTCACATTTTTTCCCTGAGCCTTGGTCTCTGGGCTGGAACACAGCCTACAGAAAACTGCAGTGAACTGGAAAGAATATTTATTTTTACTAGTGCAAAGAGTGTCTTCTTAAGTCTGATAGGGATAAGGAAGCCGAAATGCCCTTTTATACTACAGACACTCAGAAATACTTAAGTATCTAAATTTACAAATTGATCTGTTATTAGAGAAAACATAGACGGAATAAGTGGGTTGAATATGAGGACAGTGAACATTATATACATACACTTCTCCACAGACACTGTAAAATGAAAGCAATTTCATTCCCACCCAGTGTTTAAGAGTAGTAGAAAAATATAGGAAGATGTCAATGTAATTGTAAAATACAAATATGATTCTTAGAAATCTACATCAAAGTATTAACTTAAAAGGTATAAGGCACTGTTAATTATGCACCATCCCCAGCATTCATTCCTTGGAGCCACATAACCCCCATCTCAAATTCTACCTAGGATCATGGCTGCTCACCTAGAGACTACATTTCCCAGCCTCCTCTCCAACTGAATACGGGAGCATGATGGTTTGAGCCACTAGAATCCAAGCAATGTGATACATGAAACTTTTTTACCTCATTTTTGAGGGAACCCAGTTGCTCTGTCATGTTTCCCTTCCCCAAGGCTGTTACATGGAGAAAATTGGGCAGCTAACTACATTGGACCCACAAGTAGAACCTTATATGGAACATGGCAGAGATTGCTGCCAGGATTCCTGAGGGCACTGTGCAGCAAAGCTACTGACCCACCAAGGACTTCCAGCTGTCTTTGAATTTTGATACAAGGCAATATACTTCCATCTCGAGCAAGAAGTTGCATTTTGAGGCCTCCTACAGTGGCTCACCCTAGACTCCAACATTGAATCTTACCCATTCACCACTCTTGGAATATGCAGGGAAAATATAGAGAAGCTGAACTAATCTATGAAAGAAATTCTAATTTCATAGATGGGATTCAAAACCATGGTATCTTATGCAATAAACACAATAAAAAACCTGAGTGATGAGGAAGAGAAATATAAAGACTAGTCTGAAGGAAGCTCCTAGGAGGCTTCTTTGTCCATTCTGAATTTATTCTGTTCAAGGACAAGTGGAAGTCCTACAGCATTTGAACTTTGACTTTTCTCCCCCTCTCATAAATAATCATCCTCATATTTCCTATGAATTCTTTTTCAAGAACAATTTTAAATATCAGTAAATCACTGTGCCTTAAGTAATAAAGAAAAATGCAAGAAAAAAATTATCTTGAAAACTCAGGAAATGTTTGGAGGGGAATGAATCATTGCTATGGTTCTGCCAAGTCAATAGGTCCTAGCTAAAGATATACAGCTAAAAACAGTGATGGAAGCCTCAAAAGAAGAAATCGATCTCATACACCCGCATAAACATGAGGAATATAATAGAATGGGGATGGCAATAAGGGTTGAGTGGAATTACTTGGAGGAAGTTGTGGAATTTCTGGGGGGTGTTTTGAGTCCCATGGGGCATGGTAAAATGGATATTATACTATCCTCAGAATTCCTGACTTAACTGCCTAAGAGTAAGTACAACCTGGCTGGCCTCCATGTACTGTCTAGAGCTGGTCTGGTTACCACCTACGCTAAGGTGCTAGCTGATGTCTGTGAGCTGGAGGAAGCAGCTTGGGAGAAGTGAAACTCAGTTTGCTGATGTGGAGAAAAGGGGAGGAGAGGACAAAGGGGGCTTTAGTGATTGAAGGAGGAGAAATTCAATCACCGTGTTTCTAAAAGGTCTTTTATTTGTGTCCCGAAAACTCAATAGTGGAATAAAAAAAAAAAAAAAAAGCTAAGTCTAGATCAACTGAAAGACATCGCACCTAATTTGCTAATTTTTTTCCACTGATGTTATCTTTGATTTCCAAACAAAAGCAAGAAGGGTGGGAGGAAAAGAAGGGGAAAGAGGGACAGTGAGAAGAAATGAGCATCTTTGTTATCCCCAGGAGGACGCAGTGTGCAGGCAGGCTGCTGGAGCACCACCAGGGCCCCAGGAAGGTAACCCAGGTGGGCCAGCTTCAAGGACTATCTATACCCAGGCACTGCTGTGCTCTGACTAAAAGCTCAGAATTGAGAGTGCTTCAGGAAGGAAGCCACATGAGAATTCCAATGTTATTTTCTTAGTAACTATTAAAATCCGCACAACTATTTTATTTTTCCCCAAAGACAAGGGCATCTTAATTTAGAACAAAACATTTCATAACCACAAATGCTCTGTGATTTTGCAGCTTGCTTTGCTAGGGCGTCTATCTATATCTTCTAAGCATAAACCTGGCTCTGGATGTAGTTTCTTGGTGCCCAATGTGTATCTATGGAGGAACCCATTTATTATAAAATGGCATGTGACTTTCTGTATCCACCAGGAATTACCAGCCAATGGGTTGGGCATTTGAAGTGGTGAATGGAATTTTACAAAGAGAGATCAGCATTGATAAAGGCATGGAGGCGTGAGTGAGCAGACAGTATCCAACAACCAGTAGAGAAGCTCTGACCTTTCCAGGTGCCTAATTTTTTTTTTTTTTTACATGTGCCAATTAGAATTAAAAGTCTTAAAATATAGTTATCCCTTGAAACTGCCTCATCAGCAAACTTACTAAATCAAGTTGTAATTAGCCAATGTGGTAATTATAATAACACTAACCTTAATTCTTCTTTATAGGGAGAAGATAAAATACAGAGCTGGGTTGGAGGTGTGACTCAGTGGTAGAGTCCTGCCTAGGCCTCAGGTTCAATCCATAGTACCACAAAAAAAAGAAAACAAAAAAGAGGAAGGAAGGAAAAGAGTGTGCTCAGAAAGCTACCAAGAAGGTATGGACATTGATAAACTTGCCTGACTCTATATTTAAAAGATTGGTTGCCTCCAAACTGTTAAGCAAATTGATCAAGTGAATTATAGGTGAGCAATTATTACTCTAACTTGTTGCAAGACAGATATGTTCAAAAAGTGAATTTTGGCTTCCTAGTGTTAATAGATTTGGAGATATTCTTGTTATGCAGTTCTTTTGACAGTTCTGTGAGTTGGTATTTCTTCTATGTTGCCCTGATAGCATAGAAAAATTTTCCAGTTCTCCTTTTAGAACTTTAATTTAAAAAATTTAACATTTAATTTAATAGAACCTTAACTGGCCTGAGGAAATGATACAAAAGCATTCTGTTATGGTTGAGATACGAGGTATCCCCCAAAAGTTCATGTGTGAGAAAATGCAAGAGTGTTCAGAGGTTAAGTGTCTAGATTATAGAGCTATAACATAATAGAGGATAAATCCACAGATATAGATTAACTGGGTGATAAATGTAGGCAGCTAGGATGTGGCTGGGGGCATGTCCTTGGGATTTACATTTTGTCCCTGGTGAGCGAGTTCTCACTTTGTTTCCTGGCTCTGTCCTGAATTGCTTCCTCCAGCTCACCCTTCCACCATGATGTTCTACATAACGTTGGGCCCAGAGCTATGCAGTTGGCCAACCATGGACTAAACTTTTGAAACTATGAGCCAAAATAAACTTATCCTCCCCTAAGTTCTTGTTGGGTCTTTTGGTCACAGTGACACAAAGCTGACAACAACACATTCTTAGATGTAAAATTATATAGAAGCACTTTTAGATAACAGAAAATTTAAAATGTTTTCTACTTGACAAGCCAACTTTTAGATCATTCTTCCACTCAGTCATTCTCAATGTGCTTAGAACTAAGCTGATAAATCAAATGCTAAGACAACTGACCTCGTTAACTTATAATTTCTACTTCTTTGTGCATATAGTAAATTAAAAAGGGAACTATCAAATTCATACCTATGAAATCTTAGAAAAAGAATTCTTTGAGTATAGACACTAGAAATATGGAGGCCATATATTCTATATTCAAGGGTTTTAATAGATTAGCAACTAAATACTAAGCTTTGCCTACTTGGGCAGATACAGAATGAGAACATATTGTAATACTCAGATAAAAAGTTCAAACTAGCATGAACTTCCAAGGGCAAATACAATTCTTTTGAGATGGAGACTGAGCACTTCATTCACTCTCCCCTCTATTGCCTCAACATTTGTTGAGTGTCTAACTATTTATTGCTAGACCCTAGAAAGCAGCAGCAAAAGACCTGCCTACGAGGAATGTGTTTGGGTAACAGGTGCAAGAGCTGACCAAAAGAACAACCTGTGAGCAAAGAGGAGAAAAATTTGGTACTTGTGGTTTCAGAGGTCCCAGTTCATAGATGGTATGAACAATATGACCCCATTGCTCTGGGCTGAGGTGAGGCAGAACATCATACGGGGAATGTTCTCCATTGGAGCAAAGCTACTCAATTCATGGCAGGATCAAGAAGCAAGATGGGTGGGCCACAGGGAAGAAGCACCCTTCCAGGGCATACCTTTGGTGACTCATCTCCTCCAACCATATCCCATCTACCTACATTTACAACACAGTCAGCCAGCCCATTCAAACTAGGATGAATCGATTAGGTTTCAGCTCTCATAATCGAATCATTTTAACCTTGGAACATTCCTGCATTAACAGGAGCATTGGGGGCACATTTCATATCTAAACCATAACAGAAAGTCAAGACAGGGTAGTAAGAGCCATGAGAGGGGCTTTCCTGGACTGCCTAGTGAGTCTGAAGGCAAGTAGCAGCTGGAGAGTGCGGGCGGGTCAAGGGGAGGAGAGCAACATGTTGCAAAGCCATGATGCATAAAGGATAAATGCATTATTCTGAGAGTTGGAAACAGTCCAGGACTGCCTGAAGCATTTTTGTGTGCATTTTGTCACAGCAAGGGCAGATGGTCAAGGGCACGATAATAGGGGGCATTGAGTGCCATGCTAGGGGATTTCCACCTTATCCTGAGTGTTATAGTAACAGTTAAGTGAAATTTTAAATAAGGCACGAATTTTATAACAAATACTCATACAAACTACTAATAGAACATCTAAAACCTTAATATCAAGACAAACTAAAGATATCAATAGGTGGTTCACAAAAAAAGCTAGTAAACATGAAGATATGTTCAAAATGCATAAAATATGTTTCACTCTTCATTATTGAATCCCATGGTGCTCACATTCTTTAACCTAATAATCCCACTTCTAGCAAATGATCCTGAGGCTATGTTGCAAAAGAGGAGTAAAAAAAAATTAAAGGTATTCACGTAGTGTTAATTAAAATGACTACAACCAAATGCTCACCAAAGAGGAATGGTTCAATAATAGTTCACTCATGTCATTTTCTAGTATGAGGTAGTCCTTAAATATTTAAGACAATTTTTAATGATGTAGGATAATGGCTTACATGAAGGAATTGAGCAATGGTGTGTGTGTGTGTGTGTGTGTGCATGTGTGTACATAGATAGAGCAGAGTCCACTAAACTATGCTTTTGGGGTCATTTATATATTTCAGAGCATGAGTCCAGCTGTGATTAGAAAAATGATACTTGAATTTTTTACAGTGGAAGAAAATGAATTAATGTTATGATGGTAATAGCTGAGTTTTAAGATAATGGAAAAGCTTTCATTGTCTTTATTATGTTTCCAAAGCTTTTTTCAAGGCTTAAGAAAAATAGCATGAGCCTTCATCCCTTTCACGTTTTATAGTTATTTTTAAAAAGAACAATTTAAATTTATCTGTGATGTGGAGGCTGAACTGAGGGGTAACACAGAATCCAAAACAGTAAAGGTATGGGCCTGGGCCAAGTTATTGGCAGGAGTGTGGAAAAGAAGGCTTTAGAGGATGTTAGGAATAAAAGTCCCCAGAATAATCCTGCTTAGTAAAGGAACACAGGATGAAGGAGGAGCTGGGTGACTCAGAGGTTCTTGATGAATCTGGGGGAGCAGCTAATAAGCAAGCCGTAATGTAGATAGGAAATATCTACCCTGGATATGGTCTGTTTGCTGAAGCTTCATAACATCCAAATGGAGATGTCCAACAACAGCGGTCTTTCCAGTGCTGGGCTTCAGGAGATAGATGCGGAAGCCAAGAGCACATGTGTGAAACCTGAAGTCAGAATTTGGTAGGCGAGACATAGCATCTGTTAGGATGCTAACAGGAAAGAAGAAAGCTGGGCAGGTTTGAAAACAGAGCCAAGGAGACAGAGGCTTGACAACTCATGGCTCAGATGGGTGTTGATGGATCCCAGGAAAGCAGGAGGAGGGAGAGTCCAGGTGCAAGTGTTATCTTAAGCCAAAGAAGAAGAAAGTACAATAAGGAAAAGAAATGGTGCGAGTTGTTTTGTTTTGTTTGAACCAGCAGTATTCATGGACTACATCCACACCTCATGTGCAGTTAAGACTGCTAAAGAGTCAGGCTGTCTAGGCTTGTATCCCAGCATCTCTATTTGGAGATGGGGAAGAAGGTGGGGGATGGGGGGGGAGAGAGAGCGAGAGAGAATGTGTGTTTGTAAGGATCATCTTTGGCCTTCCATGTTGATATCCCTACAGGGAGGGTTGGTCAGAGCATGTGAACACCCAGTTACTCTGGCATTTGTATTTCTCATGGCATGTTACTAAAATAGCCTACACACTCCAGTTTCTTCTGCATTTGTATAGTATACATGCAGTCAGAAAAATTGAGCCACTTTGAGAATATCGGCAGTACCAGGCTTCTGATTCAAAAGACTGAACTGTAAAATAAAACGGGGGGCTGGACTGAAAGACTTCACCAACCCAGGATCCCCTAGGATACCTCTTTCTGCTTCCCTGTTGAAAATTTTTTGGCATCATGCATTCCTTTCTGATTTAAAAATAATTATGTGGGGTAGAGGGGTTTAATTAATACTCAGTTTTTCCTGTTTGACTTTAAAGATACTTAGTAAGTAGACGTTTCTTTTTTTTTTATTTCCTGAGGTTTCATTTACTTAATATATAGTTCTTTGTCTAATTTACTTTATTATAAAAATTTTAAATACCTTATCTCTTCCTTATATCATTAAAAATAAATTGTAATGGAGGAAGGGATGGCAGTATGGAATAAAGTTATGATACCCAGAGATCATCTGATCTATCATTTAGTCTTTTAATTATGTATAAGTTATTTCCTGAACAAGATCTTCTGGAACCTCCAGGAACAGATAAATGGCATGGAAATGGTATGAATCACCTATGACAAGATCCATTCCAACACTGAACTATCTTCTTATGTTAAAAAAAAAACAAAACACTCTAAGCCTTTCCTGCAACTAGCTTCTGCTTTGAATGAAGTGGTCACCAAGGTAAGACATTGCACAGAGAAGAGTCAAAGTCAGGCCCTGAAAAGGTCAGATTCTCTTTTCATTATACCTGATACATTCACAAAAACACTCTAAGTACTTTCTTCATTTTCTTTTCTTACATTGCAAACCTCTTCTAAAACATTTTTCTCATTTCAGAACTCTGAGAGAATTCTGTGATAAAGGCTCTGATAGTTTTCCTTTCTTATGTTTCAAGGGCCCGATGCTGAACTTGCACAACTCTGCAGAACTGGATCTCCTTACTGCAGCAGGCACCTGCTGGGACATCCAATTTTGCAAGAAAGGATTCCAGTGCAAAGGTTCTGCAGATACTGATTGGCTCAGCATGCGTTCCACCAGACCAGCGAGATGAGATGCAGCCTCTTGTCACTTCAGATGGCATGAGAAAGTGAGGCATCAGAAAGGGAATAATCAGAGTGCAGCTTCCTAGACCTGGTATGGTGAAAGGTCTTCTACAACCAGGGGCTTTCCTGCATCTGCTGGAGGCTGCAGAAGTGACAACCCACCTGAAACCTAGGTTCTTACTGAGGACAGGCAGAATAAACAGCAAAAGGATTGTGGGGGAGAAAGCTTAAGTCGTCCTAGGATTTCCCATAAGCAAAAGCACAGAACTTTTTTTTTTTTTTTTTTTCAGATTCTCTGGAGAACCAAATTCAATTTGAATGTGTCTATGCATCCTAGAACCCCTATTACTAAGGACAAATCATTATGATGGAAATGAGGAGTAACAGTCTCCAATTCTTTGAGAAAATTCCATTCTTTTCATCTCTACTACTAAGAGAAGGAGGTAATATTTTTTTTCAGGATACTCATTCAACGGAAACTCATTAAAAATATAAATTTTAGTTTTCTTTGAAAAATCACTCCAATATAATCTTTAAGCCCAAAACGTTTTAGAGACAATGGGAAGAAAAAGAACAAATAGTTGAGAATTTCCCCTCAAATGGGGAACGGAGTGAAGGTGGAAGGAAAGCACCTTGCAACAAATTCCACCCAAGGTCAAAGAGTGGCTTGAAGCTTTAGTTAAGTCCTGAAGGTCCAACAAGCACCAGAAGGGAGTCATTAACTTATGTAAATTGCATTACAAGGGCTATTCTATTGCTTAGTGACAGAGTGCCTAACATTAATACCGTTGTACCCAAAATGCAATTATCTTCTCAGCAGCTTAAATGGGAATAAGGATGCTAAAAATAATTTTCAAGAATACCATTCCTTCAATATTGTGGGATCTTTTATGTGCCTTCCCTACTTATTCCTAGCTACAAAAATGATGGTTTTATGTGAGTGTCATAGATGTCGATCTGAATAGGGCAATAGCATCTTGTCAGCGTTCAACTACTGAAAAATGATACTGATTTTCTGTGGCAACAGTGGCCAGGGCAGTATTAGGCAAACCTGTTGCCGGAGTCTCAGAAGTTTTTAGCACAAGTTTATTGAATGCAAATTTTGTTCTCTGCTGATAGCTAAATTTTTGTAATGCAATATTACCAGGATTTATTTAAGTGACAACCCACTTGAAATCAATAATTTTTCTGATTTTGATAAGCCTAGTTTCTTGAGCCAAAGACTCTTCCTCACTTTGATGAATACCATACAAAATAACCACAGTTGGAAAACGCTCTCTTTAAAAAGTTACCCAACTTAAAAGAGTAGAAACCAAAATGTCTACTGCACATAAGGGTAATGACATTTTGAAGGGTGGCTTCTCAAGATCACATATAGCATCAATAATATAAGAGCACCCGTACTGGTCCCACTAATGCAAACATTTGTAGGACACGTGATTCATGACCAAGAACTTGGTGTGGGGTTGCTCTCAGAAGAGGTGATTGATATTATGGCAGCTACAACAGAAACAATGGCAATAATAATAATGTTACTATTATTTACTGTATCAAACATATAATTTACATTATCTCATTCAATAACACAATAATTCTAAAGGGTAGGTCTATCCCCATCTAATCAATGGGAGAAATGAGTCAGATGGGTCACATCATACTGTGACAAAGGTATCATGTTCAGGAGGCCAGTGTATCTTTGAGTCAGTCCATAGACTGCTCACACAGGAACCCCTAATGTTTCCCAACTTACTTTTATTTTAATGTTATTTAACATGAGTGTAGAGCTTGGTCTCACCATCTTATTCTTAAAGCTATGATAAAACAAATAAATGTTCAAATTAGATGTACACGATAAAACCAGTCCCTTTCAAATTAGCAGCAGCTCACAGCACTGGTTGGATACAGGCCTCTTCACATGGGGCAGTTCCCATGTGGCTCACTACTCCCACCTGGTCCAGAGCAGTGTTTCTTCCTTTTCTTTCGTGAAAACTTGAGATAATAAGAAGCCTTTATTCCTCCCCAAGCCCTGTTTACTGATTATATCCTATGCTGTTTTTGTTCTCCTAAAATGAACGTGGTATTGCCACTTGTTGCCCTACACCATGGATCAAATTGTATGATTTCTGCCTCATTGTTCCCATCTGTGAAATGGGGGCAAGGGTGTGAGACCTACTCTCACTGGGTTGTTGTGCGATTGATGAGTTATTAAATCTAACATTTCTTACAATGTCTGGCACACACAAAAATGCTTGTAATTATTATAGTCATAAAACACAACTTTAGTACTCAACTGTTCTAAGGTCATTATACTGATGTTCTAGAATTTAAATAATTTTTTGTTATGTTCATGAAGATAGACTAATTTAAGCTATTATATTTATGTTGTGAATTTTAGGGCAACTGGTAAAAATTTTAAGAAGAGATAAAAGAAGCCAACAGTTAAGATAAAATTAAATAATTACAAATGCTCAGGTCAAATGAGAAAAAAGCAATATAAACAGAGAAAACAGAAAATGATGAAAAAATGTGGCAGACTAACTGTACCAATAATTCCATTAAACATAAGTGATCTAAACAATTAGAAGATGATTGAATTGATTTAAAAAGCAGCACCAAATTATATGCCTATACAAGAAATCCATGTTAAATACAAAGTTATCTACAGGTTTAAAGTCAAAACCAGGGAAAGCTTTAGCATGCAAATACTAATCAAAAAAAAAGCTGGAGGGACTACCTTAAAGTTTTATTATAGAAATGCTACATAAAACTTTAAAATACACAATAACCACTTCTATATCTAAATATCTTTATCGCTAACTACCTTCCTATTAAAGAACTCCCAGATCCCTGAGAAATAAGATTAGGAACTAAAATGAATTAATCTTATTTTATATCTTGTCTTTTATGCTCTATAGCTACTAAATCAAATTTACAGCATCTTTTCATTTTATTTGAAAGCACATGGTATGGCATTTATTTCCTTAAGATGAATTTTAGGAAGGAAAAAAAAACCAGAATTCGTGATCAGCAATGTTAATCTGAAAGCTATACACAAATTCCAACTGGCTGAAAATAAGTATGAATTCTTATCACTGGTTAAGCATGCTTCACTGTTCAATGGCCACATTCTAAAGATTTTATTTAAAGAAAGAAGCTAAGATGGAATCCTAATTTCAGAAATTGCCAGTGAGTGCCAGGCCTTAATTAAAATACAAAATGAAAAAAGACTATCTAAATTAAGTTTAGCAACTAAAGGGACAGCAAGGATCTAAAGGGTCTATTGTCATGTTTTAAAATCAGGAGGACAAAATAAAAAAAGAAAAAAAATCTGCGTGGGAAGGCTGAGACATCTTGTCCCACAATGAAAATCTGGGCCGTATTTCTTTCTTGTAGGAGGAAATGAGAATTTCAACACTAGTGTTAAAAGAGTGTAGGTGTAGATGAAGGAAAATATTTATCAACATGTAGTTAACACCACTGGTTTTAAAAACACAGAGATGTGAAAGATGTTTCAACAAGAACAGATGAACCACCCTGGGCTAACATAGAAAATAACAGGATTCAATAATTGGGAGGCTCTTATTGGCTCTGGGATTCAGTGTCTGCATTTGTAAAACAGGGACTAAGCCCTCTTAGGATGGCTATTAGAACTGCAAAGAACTACAGGTATGGCCCTCCAGACGGCCATGGCTGTGCTTGGGCATCCTGGGACATGCAGATCCTCCTGGGTACTTGTCATTTCATAACTGATATCACACATTCATTCATTCACTCCATGCGTATTGATGGAGAACCTCCTGAAAGCACTGTTCTAGTCTTTATTGATCAGGACTGGTAAAGATGGTATCTTAGAGCTTGACTACTTCTTACTGATATAGACAGTAAACAAATAATCCATTATATTATAGGAAGCTGAACATTAACCACTGGTGAGGTGTTGAGGAGCCCCTGAGTCAGGCAGCAGCTACTTCAGGTTGGGGCCAGAGAGGCATCTCCAAGGAGGTGAGGAAAAGGAGCCAACCACATAGAGAATTTAGGGAAGGCCATTTCAGGCAGAAATAGAAAGAAGGCCAGTGTGTCCCCAAAGCATAAGGAATAAGGGAGTGAGTGCAGAGATGAGTTTGGACAACAGATCAAATCAGAGAGGGCCTCATGGGCCATGGTAATGTATTTACGTTTTATTCTACATGCAGCAGGGAGCCTGGAGAAGTTTTTGTGCACAGAATAGCATGACCCGATTTGTGTTTTCAAAAGATCACTTTGGCAGCTGACACTGGGTTATAGGAGAGGAAAAGTGACAGCAAGGGAATCTTTTAGAAACCTTTTCAGGGTCTGGAAGAAAGGTGATAGGTTTGAAGGTGAATCAGTGGGACTTGATTATGTAGAGTGAGGGAAAGAAAGCAGTAATGACTGCTGTTTGTCACCTAGTGACTGGTTGATGCATTTTTTTTTGTTGTTTTGTTATTGGGGATTGAACCCAGGCAGGGTGTTTTACCACTGAGAGTCACATCCCCAGGCCTTTAAATTTTTTGAGACAGGGTCTTGCTAAGTTCCTTAGGTCCTTGATAAATGGCTGAGGCTAGTCTCAAATTTGCCATCCTCCTGCTTCAGCCTCTCAAGTTGCTGGGATTACAAGCATATGCCACTGAAGCTGGTGATGGTATACTTTTCTAAAATGGAGTTGATAGGAAAATCAGATTTTGTCGGGGGAAACACAGAGCTCCATTTTAGCCAGGTTAAGTATGAATGCTGTATTAGATATCAAGTGATATGTTCCTTCCCAGCACCAGGAGAGTCAGAGTTTAGTCACTTGTTTAGCAATGCCTGGTGAAGGAATGCAAACCCTGCTGCCCAAGGCACCAGGGTGGCCCCGATTTCTGCCATTCTGCAGGCTTGTTGTTTATATTTTGCTGTGATCGTATAAAATACTCCTGCATCCTTCTGATAAAGTTTCCTTTTTGCATAAGCTATCTGTTCAGCCTGTATACATGGTTATCCAAAAAGACCTTAACAAATCCTTGGCATTTAACATGATCATTCCTAAGATTATTTCTTCCTTTACTACTTTATGAAAGTAGGAAGCCATTTTTATCACTATACATGGTGTCAACTAAAACTTGGGGCATTGTTGGTGGGCAAAGTAGGCATGGGTCACACTAGGAACAATGGCTGTACTTTAGCAAGCTGTTAAAGAGGCATCAAGGGTTTTTACACAGTTCTTCCCATTGATTCCTTAGAGCAGCTCTAAAGTGATGGGGACTACCCTATAGGACAGATGAGAAAGTTGAGGCTCAGAGGGCTTATGTAACCTAAGGTCACAGCGACGATTAGTTTTAAAGCTGTTTTAAACACTCGGTGCATGAGTTAACCACAACGCAGTCGGAAGCAGGCTTTCCCTTACACGACAGGAGATGAGTCAGTGAGGGCCTCAAAGAAATTCATGGTCCACTGGTGGCGGTGGTACATGAACTGAGTGTCCCACGATTCCTTAATGAGGCGTCACAGAGCTCTGAATGGATGTGTGGAGTTCCAGCTCTAACCCCTCATTAGTTCTGGGCCCTGTGTTCCTTAGTGTCACTCAGCAGAGCAGAACCAACCCAAGACGTGTCTCTTCGTATTGGGCTTGGGTAGGAATATGGGCACTGGGATCGTGTGATCTTGGGAGACAGGAGCTATCCTCAGCAATCATCCACTTTATAAATTGGGAAACTGAGACCTAAACAGGTCACTTCCCAGGATTATGTGGCTAAATATTAGAGTTAAAATTTGAAGGTCAGGTTTCTTGAGTCTGTCTGTTTTAACCAGCATTTTTTTTTTTTTTTTTTTTGCAGCTGTGACTGAAAGACCTGTCGAACAATTTCAAGGAGGAAAAGTTTGTTTGGAGGCTCATGGTTTCAGAGGTCTTCATCCATAGATGGCCGACTCTATTCCTTGGGACCTAAGGTGAAGCAGCACATCGGGGCAGAAGTGTGTGGCAGAAGAAAGCACTGGGGATGTGGCACCAGGAAGGGACAGACAGAGCTCTGCTCAAGGATGACATGATATCAACCCCAAAGGCAACCCCCCCCCCCAGGAACCCACCTACAGTTGACACCCAGTTAGTCCTTATCAGGGATCAACACACTGATTAAGTTAAGGCTCTCCTAACTCGATCATTTTACCTCTAAACTTTCTTGCATTGTTTCACACATGAGCTTCTGGGAGACACCTCACATCTAAACCATAACAATGTCGAAATCAATAATTTACCAGCTCATTATATTACCATCTTCTCTCTCGTTTAACACTGAGATCCTGGAAGGACTTCTTTGTAGTGGGATGGGTGATCAACTTTTCTGTTCTTAACTTTTCCCCTTTTTATTTTTCTTGAGGTCTACCAAACTTACATAAAACGTACAAGATTAAGTGGATAGCTCAAAGAATATTCATAGTATAGTACAATCAACATCAGTGTAACCACCCAGCCAAAGAGGGAAAATGTCAACAGCACCTTTGGAAGCCCCCCCATCTTTCAGTCAATAATCACCTTCCCTGGGCCCTAGTGTGATCACTGGCCTGACTTCTGTCACTACAAATATGTCTTGCCTATTCCTAGACTGTAAGGGGAAAAGGAATTAAAAAAAAAAAATCTGTCCTCTTTTGTTCTACATCATAACTTAGAGTGTACCATTCTATTGTGTGAATACACCAGCACTTCTTCATCCCTTCTCTTGGCAGGGACAAATAGGTATTTCCTACTTTGGGGCTATTGTGAATAAGGCTGCTAGAAACACTCCTGTGAATGTACAGGACATGTGCACTCATTTATCTTGAAGCATTAGAATTACAGCATCATGGGCATACATACATATATTTAGTTTTGGAAGAGACAGCACACAATTTTCCAAAGTAGTTGTAATCATTTGCCCTCCCACTGGCAACGTACAAGAGTTTCAGTTGTTCTGTGTTCATGCCAACCCTTGGCATCGACTGTCTTCTTGCCTTTAGGTTTCAGTCTGTATTTCCCTGGTGACTGAGGTCTTTTGCCATTTGGATATCTTCTTTTATGAAAAGTCTGTTCAAGCATTTTGCTCATTTTTAATTGAGTTGTCTTTTTGTTTTACCATTTCTTTGTATAATCTGGAAGTGAGTCCTTTGTTAGCTGTATGTACGGTAAATATCCTAGTCTGAGGCTTTTCTGAGTAGTGTCTTTTGATGAATAAGAGTTTTTGATGTTTAATAAAGCATAATTTATTAATATTTTTATGGGGTTTTTTTGCATGTCATGTTTAAGAAATCTTTACCTACTTCAAATCTTGCATCTTTTGACTCAGGAAGCTCAGAGCCATTTAGCTTTTTTGTTTTTTGACGGAGTTAGAAGATCCTGACAATTAAGCTTTTGTTTTTCTCCTTCCTTTTCCAAGAGAGGAAAGATGGGGAGAGATAAGAAAAGAAATAGATTGGTCCCAAAGCAGTTGGAAGCTTATGGCTACCCTGGGGGAACTGGAAGAAGGAAGTAAGGGAAGAGAAGATGATAACTAAGGACTCATAATTGGTGGCAGAATTTTCTTGAAAGAAAATAACAGCAACCATCAAACTAGCCAGACCTACCTCAAGCCTTGTACCGATAGGTCCCCACGCTTTTGGTGAAGACAGAATTCAACACCCGACAACTGGCACAGTTTCCTGATCAGATTTAGAGCAGTAAAGCAATGCACAATGGGTAGAGGTGCAAATGAAACTGATGTCTTTCTTGCAGCAGGATGGACTAAAAACAGAAGTGTCCAGTGCTTGCCTTGGATATGTCTAGGATGTCGCTTCCTGGTTGCTTGGCCCCACCTGTCTCAATTCAGTCACTGCTTTGGGGGAGCCATTTCTGTGTGGGTTTTAATTAGCCTCAGGTAATTTGCAAGCCAAGAGCTTCACCTCAGTTCAGTGACTGTCTCTTATCTCCAGGCTTCTTTGCTGACAGAGGCCGGGATCTCAAGAATCCACTTAGTACTAATTCATGCACAACCCTAAAGGGCTGGGGATTTAATCACCAATGTTTGACACATGGTGACTGGAAGCCAATGGATAAATGCTTCCCCTTTTCTTTCCCCATACAGAAGTTCCTGTACTGCATTTTATAGCTTCTCAGTCTTTCCATGGAATCCAGAAACCACTTTCCATAATGGAGGACTGCTCTCCTATCCATCTTTGTATTGATGTCACCTCCTTCCCTGCTCTACTTCACTTGGTCCCATCCCTTCATTTTGGCTCCTGGTTACCACTATGGCCGTTAAATTTTTGTCCCAAGCTCTGCTTCCTGGGAAACTCAGGCTAAGATGACATTGAATAAGACTTCTGTTTGATTTTACTTCATCAGGTTTCAAATGTGGGGCCCTTTTACTCCTTTACAATTTCAAAGGAAGACTCACTCCTCTTTTCCTGGGAAGGTATCACTATGAATTAAGTTTAAATATCTTCTATACAAGTCAGCTATATGGGCCATTTATCCAAGAACAAATAGCTTGGGGCTGGTGTTGTGGCTCAGTGGTAAAGTGCTGGCCTAGCATATATGAGTCACAGGTTTGATCCTCAGCTCCACATAAAATAAATAAATAGCAGACAGAGTAAAAAAAATTTAAAGAAGAATAAAATAAAATAAATTTAAAAGGGCTAGGAATGTA